GGGAGGATGGGTTAGCCTGGTGATGGGTATTAAAGAGAGCACGTTCTGCATGGAGCACTGGGTGTTATACTCAAACAATGAATCATGGAACACTACATCAAAAACTAATGGTGTAATTAACATAACAATAAAAAATTAAAAAAAAAAATTCCGTGCGGACATCCCACAGCTCTGTAGTACCAGGGCCCCAGAAAGCTGGCCTTATGAGGGAAGTCCGACTTTGAAGCCAGCATCTTGTTACTGAAAGTTGTGGTCCCCAGGGCACAGCCCGGAAGCTCTGCCCCCTGTCCACGGATGCTTTGTCCTCTGAGGAATTTTGTGAGCATTCAACACCACCCCGTGTGGCCACCATAAACCACGGACGTGTTTCGTCCTTGATGGCCACAGAGTTCAGACATGGGGCCGGGGGGCCGTCTCTGGATAGACTGCATAAAGTCAGCATCTCCAGAGCCTGGTGCACACACAAATACTCACATAGATAAGAGTTTGGCATCTCCTGTCCTAAGTGCCCAGAGTGGGAAATGGCCTTTTAGTGAGAGGCTCTATCAGATGAGTGTCTCAGCAAATGATAAAGGACAGGGGTATGCTCGATATTTTCTGAAAACCTTCCCTTCCCGTGGCATTTTTAACCCAGCTGCCCTGGCCCACCCATGCCACTGACCACACGTGCCCACTTCCCGACCTCGTCTGCTGTCCGGGCTTCTTTGTCTCCTTAGATTCCAAGGCCATAAAGAGCCCACAGGCCACAGAGGCTGGAGACTTTTCAAGGGTTTTGGAAAATATGGAAGATCGGGAAAATAATTCCTGGTCAGGACAGTGCTCGGGCTTCCTGGAGCCCACAGATCCCCTTCTACCCCCACCTCCATGCTTGTGAGCTGGTCCCATGCACGACAGACCAGTGAACACAGAGTCAGGGGTCGTTCCAAGCGGCGGCCTTCATTTCCCAGAAACATCGTCCTGACGCTACCTTGGTGAAGGTTTGGGAACTATGGATCCCTGAGTCACACCGCCTCCCCAGCACCAACCTCTGATGGTTGGACTTGGCTGAACCACGAGGCTGGCTGCCTGACTCAAGGAAGGGCACATCCACTGGCAAGAAGGGATAAAATAAAAGCAGGTTCCAGACCTTGAGCCTCCCTCTGCAGGCACCTACAATATTCTTGCTGTAGTAAGTATCCTCCCAGGTAAGAGCCCTTACTCTCTTGTTTACGGGGTAAGTGGTCAGTGCTTACTGCTTCTACTTTTGCAAACCTGTAAGAGGAAAAGTGAATTTTCAGTGTCCACAGGGGCAGGACTGGTGGGATGACACATTATATCGGGTCCTGCATTATCTGGGTGGTGGGCACACCCAGCCAGCAACAGGAAGTGGGCCCCGTTTATCACTGATGTGTGTCATCGTCTCCTCTAGGTCTGTTGATTTGGCGTGTGTATCGTTTATGAGGGCCAGCTCTGTGCCCTGCGATGTGAAGGATCTCAGGATTGTCACCTCGTAGCACAACCCACAAGCTCTGGATACACCCATTATGCACTCACGATGGTCACTTTGCATCTTTCTCCTCCTCACTCACCATACTTCTTGCCTGAGCAGACAAGAGGCATCCCGTGGCCATCGTAATGTGTGCTGCCCTCTGCCACCTGCCAGGCCCAGAGGGGAAGGCTCTGGGGACATCTGGCTTCGGGGACAGGACAGAACATCAGCGGGATAGCAGGTGTGAGCTGACAGGCTCTTTACTGCAGCTTTGAATTGTTACCTTCCTTTACTCCCTGGCCTACCTGGTTCTGAGTGTGTCCAAGCAGGTTGGGAGGTACTTGTCAAACAGAATGGTGAGGTTGGCTCTCTCTGTCTGCATTTCCCTCTTGTCAATCCAGCTGCTCACTGGAGGGTTCCACCCCAGGTCTGCCGGATTGATGTACAGGATTCCTGGGGACACAGAGAATTCTGGTCACTGATGCCTCCACAGAGGACAGTAGATTCCTCACCCCCAGGGAGTTACTTTCTCTGGGTAGAAAATGTACAGGAGACTGGACTCTGAAGAAACAGAGAGCTGGCCTCGGTTTGAGAGGGTAAGTGGGTTTGCTATCGGGACCAGCTCCAACTGACTGATAACAGTTGATGGGGAGCAGGGTTGAGAAGGGCTGTATGGCCAAGTCTAGGCTCAGGAGGAAAGAAGACTGTGATTGCCCATCCTTGTCATGGTGGCTCCGAAAAGGGTATGTCCATGTCCTAATCCTGGGAGCCTGTGAACATGACCTTATTTGGCAAAAAAGCCCTTCCCTTGCAGATGTGATTAAGGATCTCGCGATGAGATTGTCTTGGATTATCTGGGTGGGACTTTACAGGTGTCCCTGTGAGAGACAGAAAAGGCAAGATGCACATGGAGTAGAAGGCCACGTGACTAAGGAGGTGGAGGTTGGAGTCATGGGGCCAGCAGCCTAAGCCGGAAGGTGCAAGGCAGGACTGTCCCTTAGAGGGCTGACGGCTTGATGTTGGATGTCTGACTTCCAGAATTGTGGGCGAATAGTTGTCTGTTGTCTTCAAAGCCATCGGGTTTGTGGTGACCTGTTATGGCAGCCCTAGAGAATGAATACAGAATTCTCTGGACCCCATGTTCCCAGCCTCCGCTGGATCCTCAAAAGGGAATCTGATGTTACGGTGGAGAGCAAACTCACTCTCCTTATGCTCTAGGCTGTGCCGATCAATTTGGCAGGTGGAGTCAGAGGTAAGTTAAGGCATACAGTTGTCATCTCTCACCAGGATGCAGTGAGAAGAGCAGTCCTTGGTCATCTCCACTGACGGGGGAAGCGGGAACTGGCCTAAATAAAAGCAGCCTCAGCCGAGGCACTTCTGTGCAGAGGACCATTGCCCAGCTCAGAGGCCTTTCCCTTCCCATCTCTGAATTTAGAAAATCCCATGGCCCTGGCCTTAGAGTACCTGCTCACCCTCATGGACCCGACAGGGGCAGAGAGGCAGGCCAGAGGTCCGTGTGACCGATGTCTGGCTCCTGTTTGGAGCTTCCTTTAGAGCTAGCCACACCCTGCGTGACGCCAGGGGCCCCTGTCTCCACATGAGCGGCCTGGTGGGTTTTCTCCTTCCTTGGGTCATACCTGCTCTGGAGACAGTTGCTGGTGTGGCCGTCCGCAGGTGGCTGATCTCGAAGAGCAGCCTCATCGTGGGATTCAGGGGGATCCTCTCGTTGCTCGCCAGGGTCAGCACCTGGACACACGGAGGGACACGCCAGGTAGGAAGGAGGGAGGACACACGGCCGGCGCGGGGTGGGGGTCTGGATTTGGCTGATTACTCCCAGCGGGGATTAAGGATGACTATTTTCTTCATTATGATTACAAGTTATTTTCTAAATATTCTACAAGAATCCTCTACCTCTCTTCCTGTAGCCCCTCTACCTCCATCCCTGTGTGTGCAATGAATCAAAAAATAAGTTCTCTAAAAACTGTAAATGGAGGTCAGTGATTTGAATGTGCTAGACCATATTGGGATAACAAGATTATTTTTAAAAAGAGTATAGGTTTCATATTACTGTTTCTTTTAAAGTAGTTCCTCTGGGGGCACCTGTGTGGCTCAGTTGGTTGGGTGTCTGACTCTTGGTTTTGGCTCAGGTTATGATCTTGGGGTCCTGGGATCGGGCCCCACGTCAGGCTCTGGGCTTGGCGCAGAGTCTGCTTGTCCCTCTCCCTCTGCTCCTCCCCCCTGCACTCTCTCTCTGGAATAAATAAAATCTTAAAAAATACAGTAGTCCCTCTGGGGAAGGAGGTGGGAGGGTGGGCAAAATGGGTGAAGGGGAGAGGGAGGTACCGGGCTCGCAGTTATAGAATGAGTAAGTCATGGTGACGAAAGGCACAATGTAGGGAATATGGTCCGTGGTTTTGTAATAGTGCTGCATGGTGGTAGATGGTACCCGGCCCCCGTGATGAGCACCACCTAACATAGAGGGTTGTCCAATCACTATGCTGTGCATCGGAAACTCACGTAACATTGCGTGTCCACTGCACTTCCATAAGAAATCAGTAAAGCAGCCCCTCTGGGAGGGCACACATTTAGTTCAATGATTCTGTCAATGTTGAAACCATCCTAAACCTTCGAATCCGGATGTGTTTTCTGAATAAATTCAGGAGGAGCCACCAGCTTAGCGGCCACTTCATTGGTGTCGATTTTCACTGTTTACAACAAATAAAATAGACTCTCCGTGGATAATGGTTTGTCACCACTGAGGATGGCTGACAGGCTTAGAATGTTTCTGACCCTCGGTGTCCTTATTTATAAAGAAGGAAAAACTTAAGGAAAAAGATTTGAATAAATGACTTAAGATTCTTTCCAGTTCTGAATATTAAATTCAGACAATGCTAAAAATGCAGTGATTGTGCACACGCAATTATATGAGGTTGTTAAGTAGCCTTATTGTGGTCATTTTACAAGATACACATATTTCAAATCATCACATCACACACCTTAAACCTACACAATGTTATATGTTAATTATATCTCAATGAAGCTGGGAAAAAAATAAAGACACTAGTCTTCCAGCAACTCCTTACTTGGGGCCAGCCCTCGTGTGGGATCGAGATTTCCAGATGCACCTGGGAAACTGGTTTCCTAGATGATGAGGGATGGCCTGGGCATTTCCCTTCCCCCCTTGATACCTTGTTATCATCCATGACAGTGTTCAGAGACTCAATCCACATTGGATCTATGTCGCCATCCAGTAAGATCCACTTGGGTCCATCATGGGTGATGTTGGCTAGCTCCCGCATGATGGAAGAGAACAGTCCTAAAAGGAACCACGAACTGCTCAGCAACCATCTCATCATCAATGCTCTTTCTCGTCAGACAGCCTTTCCCTCTTAGCTACGACACCCAGGAGAAGGTGTAAATGGAAAAGCCAGGTCAGAACTGGATGTGCATTTTATTCTATTGGAATCTGACAGCGAGTGCTAAGGTGCCCCCGTCTCTGAGTCTCCCTCTGACTCTTTTAAGAACATCATCAGCAAAATGTTAACAAAATCTGATGGCACTGGCTTAGGTGACGAGGGACCCGGAGAATCATTTCAACAGGCAACTGGGATGTGATGGATTTACAGAAAACCTTTTTAGGTAAGATTTCATCCTTTGTGATGGCAGCCCAGGCTTTGAGAGAAGTTCCCAATGTGATTCTAATTGGCACTATGTGAGATTTAGATCTTAATTTGGATAGAATTGATTTTTATGATATTAAGCTTTCCCAATCGATAATATGGTATGTCTTCTCATTTATTCAAATGTTACTTTATGTTCCTTAATAAACTTTTAGAGTGTTTTCAATCTATATCTGGCTAAAAGTATTCCTAAACATTTCATAGTTTTGTTGCTTTTGCAAATCAGATTTTTTTTCTGTATTTCCTTTTTTTAGCTGGCTATAGAAAGAAAAGGTATCAAATTCTGTGTATTTATTTTATGCTTAGTTACCAGTAGTAAATTTTCATATTAATTTTAGTGTTTTTTTCAAAATGCCTCCTGAATTTTCTAAGTATAAAGTTGTATAAGCAGCAAAATAATAATTTTTTTCCTTTCCTCTAACTTATACGGCATATTCCGTTTTCTTGTCTTACTGCATTTTCTAGAATCCCACACCAAGCAGTACTGAATAATAATGTTGGTAATGGCTCCCCCTTATTACTGATTTTAATAGAAATGGCTTTAGTTTCTCATCATTCAGAATGCCCCTCTTCCTTTGGGCTTTAGATAACGATTTATTTATAAAGATTTAGATTTATTATATTTAAGGTATTTCTATCTATTCCTATCTTACTTAGAATTTTTATGTTAGGAATAGCTCCTGAGGTTTTAGCACCTACTGTTGAGCACATGATTTCCTCCTTTAATTTTTCAAAGCTTTACATGAAAACTTAAAAAAAAAATTCAATCTATCCTTGCATTCTTAGAGTAGATTCTACTTAAAGTGTATTCTTATTTTTATTAATATAGAGATGGGATCTACTTGGTGATGTTATTCAGGATTTCTGAATCTATGTTATTAAGTGAAATTGGGCTCTTTTTTGGTTCTACATAAAGGTTGATATCAAGATTATTCTGGTTTCATAAAATGAATTGAGAGGTGTCTTTGTTTTGTTTTGTTTTTTTACCATTTTGGAACCATTTTTTTTGCTACTGTTTCAAACTGTCCTTATCAATAGTTTATTCATTTTCTGTTTCTTATTGAGTAAATTTTGCTAATATTATATTTTGCTAAAGTATTGTTTTTATTTCTCCTAGTTTTCCAAACATGTATCATATAATTAAGTGATCTCTTCCATCTTAATCTTTATTTGCTGTTACAGCTTTTAATTCTTAATTGGATCTACTTTTACTCTTCTTCCCCCATCAATCTTGCTCACAATGGGCTTACTGATCTTTACAAAGAACCCATATTTATGTTTTATTTATCCTTCCTATAATTTTTTTTGGTTCCTTCCCATTAATTTCAGACTGTATCCTTATTAAGTTTCTTCTTCCTGATTTTCTTCAGGTTCAGTTTACCACTCTGAGTAATTTCTTAGGATGGATACTGACTTCCTTCATTTCTAGCCCATCTTCAAAAATAAGAAGAGTTTAGAGTTCTTCTTTATCGGTCTTAGGCATGCTCCCTTGGTTTTTGTATGCGATGTATTTTTTTTTTTCTTTCACCCAGGGGGTTAAGTAAGAATCTCTCTTTTTTTTTTTTAATTAATTAATGTTTTAAGTAGGCTCCACACCCAGCCTGGAGCCCAATGCAGAGCTCGAACTCAAGACCCTGAGATCGAGACCTGAGCTGAGATCAAGAGTCGGACCCCTGACTGAGCCATCCAGCTGCCCTGTGAGCATCTCTTGATTTGTAAGCAGTACAATTATTTTTGGTCATTTTCTTACTGTCCATTTCTACATCTATTGCATTATTATCAGACAATGTGGCCCGTAAATCGATATTTTTGAATTCATTACAGTTTCTTCTGTGCCCAACTAAACTTCAAATTTGTGTAAATGTTCTATGAATGTACCAATCTACTTCTAAGATGCAAAGTTCTTAAACGATGTGTTCTATTGAGTTTGATGATGTATTTCTCAATTTCTCTATGACTATGCTTATTTTTTTCTTTCGGATCTGTCCAATTTTGAAAAAAAGTATAGCAATAATATTCACCACATTTCTATTTTTCCCAAGTTCCCGAAAAATTTTTAAAAAGTTGTCTTCCATCTACTTATAGTTCTCTTTGTGAATACAGATTTATGATTATAAATCTTTGTCAATGTCTCCATATTTGATGAATACTGTATATTTAATAAAACTTTAATTGAAACTATAACACAGCTTAAAGTTCGAATTACATGAGCTTAGATTTAATATGGAATAATAAGTGCTTGAGACTAGCCAAGAAACTTACAAAAGAATACTGGGGAGGAACTTAAGCCATCAGACATTAAAATGTTATGATTGTGAACAGAGTAGAATGACATTCGTATAGGATTAAATAATGAATGGGACAGAACAGAAAACCCAGAATCAGATCTTGGTATATGTGACAGGCTGGTGCTTACATTCAGAGGGAAAGGACTGCTTAATAAATGATTTTGGCACATTCAATTATCCATTTGGAAGCCAATATGAAGTTGATTCTCTACCTTAGCTCATACTAAGCCCCAAAATAAATCCCAGATGGATAAAAGAGATGTTCGTGTAAAAAGTATCTTCAGGACCAAATTTATAATACTGTATCTATAACTGAAAATGAGAAAGGGTGATAAACTAAATAGGAATCCCAGATGCCAACAGAATGGACAGACATAATTTTCTCTTTTAAAAAGTGCAGGTTGGGGTGCCAGGGTGAGTCGGTTGGTTAAGCAACTAACTCTTGGTTTCAGCTCAGGTTGTGATCTCAGGGTCGTGAGATCAAGCCCGGCATTGGGCTCCTTGCTCAGCATGGAATCTGATTGGGACTCTCTCTCCCTCTCCCTTTGTCCCTACCTGCTGCTCGCTCTCTCTTTCTTTCTCTCTCTCTCGCCCTTTCTAAAATAAATGGATAAATCTTTTAAAAAATAAAAAAAAAGTGCATGGTAATTATGCCACAAAGTGCCTGTAGACAAATGGTAGACAGGAAAAACCATTAGCGATGCATAGAACAAAGGATTACTATCTCTGATATATAAAGAATTGTTACAAATGAATAAGAAAATATTACAGGGAAATAAAATCACAAAAGAGCCAATTACTAAAGCCAATAAGGAGGAAAAGATGCTAAGCCTCATTAATGGTGAGTGAAATAAAAATTAGAGAGGCTGCCCATTAAGTCCCTTTGTTCTAGGCCTCTGACGGAAAGTCCTAAATTAGAATCCAGGCAGTTGGACCCTGTGTAGTCAGACACCGAGATGGGAGGAGGGAGCTGAGAGGCCCTCATTCCAGAAGCCACATAGGTTTTAGAAAGAGGTCCTATCAGCTCGGAGTTTTCTTTTCAGCTCTCTCCCAGTGACAGTGCCCCTTTCCAGCATCTACCAGTGATTTCTAAATCTAGAAACGTGACACTGGAGTTAGCACTAAGTGAACAGGAGTTTGGGACCCTCTGAATCGCTGCAGAAGGGATCATGGTCTGTGATGAATGGTAATGAATGATGTCTTCAGCCAGGCCCTGAGGTCCCGTTGTCTGTAGTGATGTCTCCCCATCACTTCTGGGGGCTGACAGGAACATGTGCCCACTGTGGGAAGCCAGAGCATGCTGTGCTGCCCCTTTGGGAATGAGCTGTGGGCTTCCCTACCCCACCCGTGTCTTAAATCCACTGCCAGGCAACGTAGGGACTCTGACTTGTGCTGCACAATCACAGAACCACAACTGAGAATGCCTGCCCTGCTCTCTCCTCTTTCAATGCCCTCTCTCAAGGAGCAGCTAGAAGGGTCTCCAAGGAGAGAGAATCTCCCAACGGCTGAGGTTCCCCTCCAAATCAAAATTGGGGTCTTCCTTTCTTTGATTCCTTTCACCTCCTTCTCCCACTCCAAACCGATCAGGCCAGTGTTCTTCCCTCTGAAGTTCACCCTTGGATGTAGATTCAAGCCTGCCCCCCGGGGCTCAGAATAGCGGGAATTTTATCCCAGGGGTATCCTGCTCTTACCATCCTTCCATTCTCTGGTGGCCGGATTGATGATGCCAAAGAGTTCATCGTTTGTGACTGCTTTGGGGTTGAGGTCAGCCCAGACAGGGCGGCGTTTCATGATCTGATAGGTCTTGTGCAAGGATTTCAGCACCTGAGACTTGCCAGTGCCCGCGCTGCCCACCACGAACACGGAGTGTCGCACGGCCAGGAGCTCCTCCAGCTGGACCACCTGGGGAGACACACAATTCAGCCAGAGGGACCAACTTGTCACTCACTGACATCCCAACTGCTCTTCTGTGCCCCAGGCTGGTATCTGAGGGGAGACCTGTTGTCAACAGAGGAAGGGTTTTTCACCTCCAGATGTGGTGAGGGGTCCTAACTGTGGGAGCTACATTCTTATTCATCATTTGGCCATGTAATTATTAGTCACCAACTAAGTGCTGGGGAGTATACCAGGTGAGGGAGATTCAGAGAGGACTCTCCCCCCTCCATGATCTTACAGGCTAAAGGGGAAGCATAATGATTACTATACTCAAGTTATTTATAAAGTGCTATGTGAACAGATAGGAAGAAACAATTGATTTTGTACAGATAAAGGGAATAAGAAAGGCTTCAAAGAAGTGGGGGCATTTGAACTGGGGCTTCAGGGGTGAGTTTGTCAAGATGAATAGGGGGATTTGCAAGCAGAGGTATAACAGCACAAAGGCTTGTGGTGTGACAGAGCCTGATGTGGTTGACCAGATGGTTTGATGAGCCCGGAGTCAAGGAGTTCCTTGATAAGCACTGAAGGTCTTATCCCTCTTACCCTGGCTTGTCTCCAGGCTTGCCTTTTCACACTGTTGTAGGAGCACATTTACTGTAATGAAAATCTGATCGTGTCATTGCTGTCACTCTGTCCTTTCAGTGGTTCTCCATAGCTTTGGTGATGACATCCCAAATCCTTAGACTGGCTTACGAGGCCCTTGTGCAGACTGGCCCAAACCAGCTTCTCTCTCTCCTTCCCCAGCATGCACATTCCAGGTAGATAACTGGGGTTCCTTAATAATGTTCTTTCCTTAGTCTACATCTTTCAAGATATGGTGCCTTCTGTTCAGAAGTTATCCTTTCTCCCGCCTTTTTCCCATCAGACCTACATCATCCCTTAGTCTGCAGTAGGTGTCCCATACCTACATCCTAGTACTCAGCATTGCCATGGTTACTCTTCTCCCTATTAGATTATCAGCTCTGTGAAGGCAGGCAGGACTGGGTTTCTTACCTTTTTATTCCCAGTGTCTAGCAGAGAATCTGGCACATACTAAATGTTGAACAGGTATTTGCTGAAAACATGAAGGATGGCTGGAAAAGCTGGGTGGCCCCTATCATGAGGGGTCTTATATACCATGGGCTAAGACACTGAACTTTAATGTAGATCAAGTATATTTTCCACTATAATACCCTTAATGGCTGAGGAACATGAATGTGTGAGGTAAGGTACTGGAATATGCACCATGTGGTAGGACAATACAAAGATTTCCCCCCATACATCCTATTTATTCTACATTTTAAAACATGATAAAAAGTAACTTCTCTGTTTTTTAAAAAATTAAGCGGTACAGGTGTTAAAATGAAGTATCTAGAACTGTACAAGCCGGGGATCAGGAGGAGAGCATTACTGCTAGGCTCAGTATAAAGGAAGCAGATGAATTTCTGTTTGGGGAATGAGTTGACTTGTTTCCACTGTGGTAGGATAACTGAGATACTGGGTTGTGTTTTCCACAGCATCACTATTTTCCTCTTCTTTGTCCGAAGCTATTGCAGGTCCTCTGGTTCAGAGCCCAAGAGCACCCCAAGCAGATTCTCAATCCTGGCTCTTGTTTTTGTCCTTCAGGAACTTAACGAAGGGTCTTCCCAGATAAGGATGAGGGAAGCGTCAGGAAGGGTCTGTGGGGAGCTGATATCTAAGCTAATATATGAATGAAAAAGAGTCAGCCACATGAAGATCCATGGGAGACACGCCAGGTGGAGTAATAGTGAGTACAAAATCATCAGGTTCTGGGGTGCCTGGGTGGCTCACTCAGGTCATGATCTCAGGGTCCAGGAATCGAGTCCCGCCTCAGGCTCCCTGCTCAGTGGGGAGTCTGCTTCTCCCTCTCCCTCTGCCTCTCCCCTCTGCTCATGCTTTCTCTCTCTCTCAAGTGAACAAATAAAATCTAAAAAAAAAAAAAAAATCTCAGGTTCTGGCTGCAAGCTTGCAGGGCTCAACAGCAAAGAAAGGTGGGGTGGGGGAGCGAGTATAAGATGAGATGAGAGAGGTAAGGGGGGGGTGGGGTCAGCTATGTAGGAACTGGTACTTGGAATTTTATTCTAAGTACAACAGGAAGGAAGCACTGGAGGATTTTTAGCATGAAACTAGCCTGAGGGCATTGCATTTAAAAAAATGGAGGGGGTTGGGAGGGAAATGGAGGCAGTGCTCTTGTTATTGAACAGAGACTTCGTTGTATTCTTAGATTTTTTTTCCCCGTGAACAACTACTGACTCCTTCCCTGATCCCGAAAGCCTTAAAATCACTTTCTAGTTCCACCAACTTCTTTTCATTCATTTCAATAGCATTATTGAGATAGAATTCAAGTACCATAAAAGTCACCTTTTGAAAAGTGTCCGATCCAATGGTTTTGAGCCTATTCACAGGACCATCCAATCATTACCACTATTAAAACATTTTCTTCAACTCCAGAAGGAAAAACCATACCATGAGTAGTCACTCCCCATCCCCCGACTCCTACCTCAGCCCTGTGCAATGCCTCTATTAAATTAGACTCTTCTGGACATTTCATATAAATAGATCTATAAAAGTATGTCGCATTTTGTGAATTGTCTCTTTCACTCATACTGTTTCAAGGCTCATCTGCACTGTAGCATGTATCCGTACATTGGTCCTCCTTATAGCTGAATAAAAGTCCATTGTGTAGGTAAGATCACAAGTTGTTTATCCATTTATCAACTGATGAATGAGTTATTTCTATTCTCTGCTGATTATGAATCCATCAACTTTTGACAGTATCTTTTGCAAGGTAAATATATAAGTATCCCCATCCTTCCCTTTATCTTTCTTTCTCCTGTCTTCTTCCAGGCATGTTATACTTTTATATTGCTATGTTTGATAATATTTATATCCTGTTCTGGCCTTGTATTTAGACCTTCTCTTTCTGTGATCGTAAGGGTTGAAGACTGATCGTGGCTTACGTTCTTACATCTAGAGAGATTTTTCACTACAGAAGAAAGTTGTTGCCTGGTTTACATTGCGTTCTCTACGGGCCTAGTGTCATGACTTGACAGAGGATGTTCTCAGCATCAACCCAAGGTCAAATGGATACTTTTTTCTTAACACTCCATATGTTGATCAATACCAGGTTATGTTTACTTAAAAAAATATTTGGACCATGACTTTTTTTCTCTTGGTGTTCTTAATTGCATTCCTTTTTCATTGTTAAAAGAAAAGACATATGCCTCAGGCTCCATAACTGAGAAGTTTAATAAAACACAAAAGAACTTTCATCTTGTTGATCTATTCTTGCTTTGAATGTATCCATTTTTGAGGTCTTTTTGTTGGAGACCGTGGACTTCCTGCCCTAATTTGGATTAACTTCTTTCTAGGTCTGCTGACAGCTAAAATGCTAGGACTTTCTTTTTTTTTTTTTCCTGATTCTCGATTTTTTGAAACCCATGGCATTTTTATTTTTCATCCTCATTTTTCCATAGTATGTCCTCAAGTAACTTACTCAAAAGGGTGCATAACCCTGATGTTTATTGCAGCATTATTTACAATAGCCAAATTATGGAAGCAGCCCAAGTGTCCATTGATAGATGAATGAAAAAGAAGTGGTTTATAGATACAATGGAATATTACTCAGCCATAAAAAGAATGAAATCTTGCCATTTGCAACAACAAGGATGGAGCTAGAGAGCACAATGCTAAGGGAAATAAGTCAGAGATAGACAAATACCATATGATTTCACTCATATGTGGAATTTAACAAGCAAAACAAATGAGCAAAGGTGAAAAAAAGAGAAATAAACCAAGAAACAGACTCTTAGCTATAGACAACACACTGATGGTCACCAGAGGGGAGGTGGGTGGGGGGTGGGTGACGTAGGTGATGGGGATTAAGGAGCGCACTTGTGATGAGCACCGGGTGATATATGGAAGTGCTGAATCACAATATTGTATACCTGAAATGAATATTACACTGTATGTCAACTGGAATTCAACTAAAACACCAAAAAAGCCAAAAAACCTAAAATAAATAAAACACTAAAAAGGGGGTACATAAAAAATAAAATTTAGGACTCTTTGATAATACCTTGAATGACAACTTGGTTGGTACACAATTGGTTTTGAAACCTTTTCCATCAGAACTCTGAAGGAATGGTCTCCTGGTCTTCTAGTACCCAGTATTGCTGATGAGAGGCTCCCATGTTGTCCTGAACCTCACTTCTACCTTGGGTCCCCTGTGCCTATCTCCCTAGCCCATCACGCAACCAGGAAACTTACCATCTGCTCTTGACCCCTGACTTCTGAAATTCCATTATGATATGTCTTTGTAAAAGTTGATTCGAATCCACTCTGTTCAGTACTGACTGAGCCCCTCCAATCTCATGTTTCTCTAGAAAGTTCTAGAAAGTTCTTTCTAAAATTCTCATTGGCAACATGTTGCACAGAGATCCTCTCCATGTCATCTTGACTCTTGCACTTTCTTTTTGTGTATCATATATATTTTGTTATATACACATTTTATATCTACATATAGACGTAAGTATCCCTATCCTCATAAAACAAATAATATACAGGGCGCCTGGGTGGCTCAGTTGGTTAAGTGACTGCCTTCAGCTCAGGTCATGATCCTGGAGTCCCAGGATCTAGTCCCACATCGGGTTCCCCACTCAGTGGGGAGTCTGCTTCTCCCTCTGACCCTCTCCCCTCTCATGCTCTCTCTCACTCTCTCTCTAATAAATAAAATCTTTAAAAAAAAACAAATAATACACATTGAATAAAAACAAATATATATAAAATATACATTTTTTAAATTATACACATACATACATACATAATTTTGTCCTGGGAGAGTTCCTTGACTTTACCTTCCAATCATTTCACTGAATTATCAGTGACACAATTCTACATTTCTACATTTCAAAGAGCTCTTTACAATTCTCTGATAGTTCTTTTTATTTCTTTTATAGCATCTCATTCCCTTTCTATGGGCATCGCTTTCTTAATTTTCTTAAAGGATACTAATTAGAACCTTCAAAACACTCTCTTCCTTATTCACACTGGCATCAGCTGCCGTGTGTGAATGCGTGGGTTTGTGTGTGTGTGTGGGGGGGGGTTGTCAGTCTGCCTTTGTCTCTTGCGGGGTTGGCTTTCTCCAGGATCTGGTGAGCCTCAAGGGTAGATGAAGAGCTGCACTGTGTTTTCTAGAAGGCAAGGATGGGTGGATATGCTCGGGGATGCCTTCTCAGAATGAGAGCTCGTGCCGGTGGTTAGACCTCAGCCTTTGTCCTTTCACTTGTGGGCGAGTCAGCAGGCAACTGGCCTCCAGGCTGAGGGGCCCCAGAGAGAACAGACTGACCATACACGGAGGCACCAATATGCCAAGGGCAGGTAGAGTTTCCCCCCAAAGAGCTTATTAGGTTGCCTTAGACTTTTCTTTCTGGCTGCGGATTAAATGCCTGACTGTACGTGGTCTCCCTTCTCGGGAATTTGAGACTAGAAGGGGGAGCTGGGAGAAGAGTGTAGGGAGCCAGATGGAAAAATTATAAGGTAGACTGACTTCATGATCCCCCCTCGGCTGTTTCCAATTCTCTTTCTCGCTCCTGTCCTCCTTCGCTAGCAGCTCCAAGCCTGGGGCCTCCCCAGGGTTTGGCTGGGCAGACGGGCTGACTCCAGAGCCCTCCTCTCCTACAGCCCTTCTAAGTGGATTCTGGCCTGCAGCCCTCCTGCCCTGCGGGATCTGTCAACCTGCTTACATCCTCTTTCCAGGAACTGATCGAACTATCCCCTTCTAGGTTCTACACTTCTAAGTCCTCTGTCTCAAAAAAACAAAATTATATGATCACTGTTAGGGATCTCAGGACACCATCTCAAAGCAGAGCCTCGCTAGGCATTTTTGATGAACGGACTTTTGAGGGTGGTCAGGTGGACAGCACGAACAAGAAGTGGGTAGAAAATGCCAACTGTACCAAGAGTCTTTAATGGAGAGCATCTGTCTTATCAGTAGGGTAGAAAGCAATCATGAAGAAGGAGGAGAGAGAAAGAAGGACACAGAATGTGGGCCAACCGACCAATAAATAGGAAAAGTAAGATTCTGAGTAGGCAAAAATGCAGAAAATGGGGAGGTCGGGTCATGTTGCCTCAGCAGACTCCCAGAGTGTCCATGGACTGTTCTGGTCGCAAGACATCAGCCCCCGTTCCCTGTGTATCAGGAGCCTCGTCGGATCTAACTCCCCTCCAGGAAAGGGGCACCTCTTAGGATCAGAGCCCTTAAGAGGAAAGCCTTCGCTCTGTCTGGCATTCAAGGCCTCCTATATCATGGTCTTACCCTTCAAGTCCTACTGCTCACTCTCTGTCCCCATGCCTTTCTGTTTCCTGTTGCTGGGTGTACGATCTCAGTGCTTCTCCACCCATCCCTCCACCAGCCCTTTGCCTCCACCAGGAAGGCCCTCAGGCCCATCTCTACCTTGACAAAGTCTATCCACTGCACTTGGAAAGAGGGAGGTTGCGTGTGGGGACGGTGGACAGGCAAAACCAACTACAGCTGGGAAGGACCAGGTCATGTTTTGTTTTCTTTGGTGAAATGGAAGCTCAGAGATGGAGAGATGGAGGCAGACACCAATTCCATTTACATAGATCCAGGGCTTAATCTCTACCAACGGTATTACGTGCTTGAAACGCCTCCTGGTGTGGCGTAGAAGGAACATGCCCCCCTCCCCAACTCCCCAAGCCGGTAGCCTCCTCAAGGCAGAGCACATTCTCTCTCATGAAACCCTCAGCGGGGTATCCTGGAGAAGTAATGGCAGCCCAGTGTCCTTGTCTGTAAAGTGCCTCAACTGCTCCGTTGGCCTCAGGGGTTGTGGGAGGTCAGGTGGGATACGTCATATAAAGACACTTGTGAACTCTACGGTGGTGTTCATGGGGTTCCCAAAGGTATTACTGCACAGGAAAAAAAAAATCTATCCATGTTCCTGTACCCCAGGATCGTCTTTTGTGGCACTTGTCACATCATGCTCCAAGGTATGGTTACTCTTATGAACGCACTTATACTGTGGCAAGATTTACGCATTCTGGAATGTTAGCATCTGCAAAGTTGCTCCGTAAAAATAACGGACTTCCGGAAAATGGGATGAGGGCAGACCACTCAGAAAGTACAGAACTTTGTATGCAAAGCCTGAGATATTTGATAATGCATCCTAATCCCAATAAAAACTCTAGCTAGCACAGTTAAATCACGAGAGCGTTTGCACCTGGCCTCATGTTGGCCAATTCTTTGTAGCTTGCTTTTCCAACCAACCTTCCTTCCTAAGTTTATTTACTTTTTTAGTCATCTCTACACCCAACATGAGGCTCAAATTCACAATATCAAGATCAAGAGTCACATGCCCCTCCAACTGAGCCACCCAGGCACCCCTACTTTATTTTTTATAAGATTTTTAAAAAGTCATCTCAATGCCCAATGTGGGGCTCGAACTTACATCCCTGAGATCAAAGAATCGCACACTCCACTGACTGAGCCAGCCAGGTGCCCCAATCGGGGGATCAGTGCTTCCTTTTCCAAGAGGTAGGCCATGGCTATACTCACTTCTAATCAAGACCATTTTAATCCCGGTTAAAGATCTGTTCTAGACGGAGCCTTCTTCATGCACCCACTGTTTTAATGTAAGCAGAAATGTCTTCGCCTGTCCTGAGCCTCCCCAGAAAGCAGTAGAAACCATCATGGTTCCCAAGGCCATGGAACCTGTCATACTTTCCCTGAAGTTTCAAGGTTTTTCCTGAAAGTCTATACCTACTGCTAAACATCTTCGTTTTCTGTAGCTGCTCTAACAAATGACTGCTGATGTGGTGGCCTGAAACAACACAGAGCCATTCTCTTACCGTTTAGGTGCTCGGAAGTCTGAAATCAAGGTACTGACAGGGCCAGTCCCTTCTGGAAGCTCTATGAGAGAATCTGTTTTCTTGCCTTTTCCCGAGTCTAAAGGCTGCCTGCGTTCCCTGGCACTGGTCCCTTTCTCCACCTTCAACACCAGCGAAGGCTGGTGGAGGTTTTTCTTACTTATAAAGACCATTGTGATTATATAGGGCCGCCGCCCAGGTGACCATCTCCCCATCTCAAGGTCAGCTGATTAGCAACCTTAATTCTATCAGCGACCCTAATCTCCCATTGCCATGTCACATAACATAGATTCTGCGGATGGGGATGCGGACATCTTGGGGTGAGGGGAGGGGGGGGCGGCGTTAGTCTGCCTACCACCCTCAAGTTATTTTAATCGTGAGAAAGCCTGTCCTTGATCACTTCAAAATGCTTACAAGCTCAGAAACTTGCCTAAGAACAAACACGGCTCCCATATTCTACTACTATCAGGTCCTCTCTAATCCGGTCTGAAGTAATTCACAGGAAAAGAACATGTGCGAGAGCAGAACGGGCTGGGGCTTAGTCCTCTGCTGGATTGTGAGCTTTCTGATGGTAGGGGTGCCATCTCTCCCTTGCGTTCCCCACCACACATTCCACATTGTGGGCGCCCCAGTAAAGAGCTCTTGAAATGAATTATTCCTAGGTAGATACCTATTTGTACATCTAAAGCCACCCTTTGGATTAAGGATGACCCATCATCCAAGAAAAGCAGTAAGAGACCAAAAAAAAAAAAAAGATCTCAGGAGGGAAATCCCAGTGTACCTTGAGCACAAAGTTGTCCTCAGCCTGGAGCTTCAGATCCACTACTGCCTTCCGAACCAACGCTTCGAAGTTGAGATCTCTCCTCCGGGGGACATCCAGGGCAGGAAAGAGGTCCCCGATCAGGCCCAGGAACACTGGTATGTCGTCAGTCACGATCTTGGGGATGTTGAAATCTCGCAAGGAGCGCATCAGGACTTGGTCCTCGGGGCGGTCAGGGTCCCCTCGCTTCAGGGATCCGGCCACCACCAGCACAGACTTGATGGCCCGCAGGCCCCAGTCATAGTGATCCTGAGAGAAGGAGGCACGGGTCAGGCAGGGCCCGCTGGGATGCAGAATGCCCTATGCCCTTGCCAGTATCTATGAAATTATAGGCAGGTCACTTCTGAGGCCAAGACGGAAGCTCAGGAAGGGACCAATGACACGGAATGTTGTGGTGGTCACAGATCCCAAGCTCCCGGTCTGGCTAATGCTACTTTTCTAGCTGTGATGACAACGAAGCAGACCCAGAGCATACAGAGGGTTGGGGGCAAGGGAAAGCAAAAAGAACCACCTCCCGACCTATCTGGCTACTCCTTGCACGTTCTGAGAGTGGAAGGGCATCCAGGAGGAAGCCGCGTTAGCTCTTAGAGATGGTCGAGGCTAAGCTCACATGCTCTACACCAAGGAGGCCTTCAAACGCTCTGAGAAGAGCAGTGAAGAAAAATTACCAGTAGCAACTCATAGAAAGGCAGCGGCAAGAGCTTAAATCAAGAGGCAGGGGTGCTTGGATATAAAGTGGTAGGAAGAAAATGAGATGGATTTGAGAGAGGTCCAGAGGGTGGAATGCACAACCATTCATCCACGATTAGATAGAAAAGAAAAATGCCTGGAAAAGAAAAACGCCAAGGATGACTCCCAGAATTCCAGAATTAGCCAGTGAGTGAGTGAGGGTTTTGCGTTCTGAAGCACGGAATGCAAGAGAAGTAGGTTGGGTTGGGGACCGGCAGGAAGATCGGCTTTAGATGCTGAGCGAGAGGAGTTTTCTCACACTCAGGAGAGCTGAGGTATAGACCGCTGAATATGCAGGTTTAGAGCTCAAAAGAGAGGTTCGGGGTGGATTTGTGGCTGTCAGCTGCTGGCCTGCAAGTCAGTGGTGGTGGGGACCCGGCAGCTGATGCAGTGAGCAAGGGGCCCAGGAAATCATGGAGAAACAGAAGAGGTTTTTAAGGAAATCCACCTGGGACAGATTTCATGGGGCTGAATGCGTCCATGCTGTGGCAGCAAAGATAGTTCTAGTAAGAGAGAAGTAAGTAAGAGAGGCCTGGAGGGAGGAGAAACTCAGTGGGAACAGCCCAAGGAAGCCTGACTGGCTGTCCCTGCCACCAAGAAATTCTCCACCCAAGGCATGAACCTTGGAGGTTCTTGTTCCTGTGTGGGGACCTGCCCCAGGCAGAAGCCACATTTAAGGACAAGCAACAATGACATCTGTGGGACTCCTTAGAATGCCTAACTATCTCTTCCCAACCCTTTCCCCATCCCGTGGCCCTTCAGGTAGAGACAATTCCCTTCAAGGGAATTTTGTTGGCCACAGAGGTTTCTCATGGGACACTGGATCTATGAGGTGTTGCTAAGTAGTCTGTGAAAAAAAAGTTTAGGGGCGCCTGGGTGGCTCAGTCAGTTAAGTGGCTGCTTTTGGCTCAGGTCATGATCCCAGAGTCCTGGGATCGAGCCCCACGTCGGGCTCCCTGCTCAGTGGAGAGCCTGCTTCTCCCTCTCCCTCTGCCTGCCTCTCTGCCTACTTGTGCTCTCTCTGTGTGTCAAATAAATAAATAAAATCTTAAAAAAAAAAGAAAAGAAAAAAAAGTTTGGGCGCCAAATAAGGTTTTTTTTTTAATGCTAGGCTAAGAAAAATGAACATGAATCTTTGTTGTAGAAGTGGTCAGAGCTTTTGCTATTCCTACGGACACACTGATTCTCTGTGAGAATGCTCTACTACATTGGCCCAGAGCTGGGCAATCACATGGGGCTGGTGGTCCAGCCAAACTGGGGAGAGTACCTGTTTAGACAGCAGCTCTTTGCACAACTGGTAAAGGGTGATGAACTTTCGGGCTAATGACCGCGCTTCAATGAATCCTTCTGCCACCAGCATGATCTCGCAAATCAGCTCAAAGTCTGGAACCACCATTGCACAAGGCCTGTGAACAGGGAGACAGAGGGCCAAGATGGTTTCCCAGCCACAGTTGAAGGGGGGCTTGGAAGATGAGCGACATTGGCTGAGATCACGGACAGAGGGATCTGTGAGTATAAACACTTAGCCCTTAGCAAGAGTTTCATCCAAGACTCCCAGTGAGTCGACCAAGGATAAAAGACGTGAACACTCTTGTCCAAAGTGATGGATGTTGACAGCAGGCAGGGGCAGAGTTGGGGCTACAGCTCATCTTGTAACTTGGGGCCAGGGTACCTTACACAAGCGCAGGTTAGTAAAGCTTTAGTAATTCATAATTTATTAGTTACTTCTGTAACAGATTACGGGCTAAGTTTGAGGACTTGGGTCTCTCCTGGGGTCTACAATCTATTCCTCATTTTCAAAACCGTATCTCTTCCCCAAACCTAGACACTTGGGGCTTATTCTGTGCTTACATGCATACAAATGTAAATATCTAATGCTGAGGTCTAAAGTAAATGCCCATTAACCCCATCTTGCCACAAAATGCATATATGAGGGGTGCCTGAGTGGCTCAAGTTGGTTAAGTGACTGACTCTTGATTTCAGTTCAGGTCACGATCTCAGCATCTGAGATGGAGCCCTGCATCAGGCTCCACGCTCAGCACGGAGTCTGCTTGGGATTCTCTCTCCCTCTCCCCCTGCCCCTCCCCCTGCTCACATGTTCTCTAAAATAAATAAATAAAATCTTTTAAAAAAAGTCATACATGAAAATACAGAGGGGAATTTTTTTCTCTCTGTAAGGATTTGCTCTGGTTTTTCTCCCCCTCTCGCTCTAGAAACATTTGATTTTAAAATTACTTATTTTTAAAATTAATTTATTAAGTATATAACAGGAACCTAAGGTTGTTCACATTTCCTTAACTGCATTTTCCCTACATCGATATAAAATTTTCAAAAACGTATCATTCAAGAACATTTTTCCTTTAAATTATTTTACATTGTATTCAAATTCAAAGGCGCAACCAAACACTTAGATCCTCAAAATTATTTTGCAGCCTGAAATAAGGTTAAGTATGCATCCATACAACAGAATTCAGTAAGGCCGTGGAAAAGAATGCTATGGGAGGAAAACTGTTTAGTGGCACAGGAAAATAGTTAATAAAGGCAGGATCCTCACTTACGTAGGTTCTTATCCCAAGTTGGAAAAAAGAAATACTCTGCCCACCAGATATTGGAAGGGAGGACACCAAAGGGTTTTAACTATCTCTGGATGACAGTATTTAGACGGGGAGAGCAAGTGTTCTGGAGTCTGTTTGGGTTCGAACCCAAGTTCTGTGGCTGGCTACTTGGGCTCCTAGCTAACCATAGTAACTGGGGTTCCTCCCCTGGGCAATTTGCTGACCCTGTTTTCTCCCTGTACAAGGGGGATACTTGTGGTTTGTGGTACCCACCTCAAAGATAGGGCTTTTGTGAAAATGAAGTATAAAAGTAGATGTTTGTATTTATTGTTTTTACATATATTTTTCTCCCCCCCCCAATCCAATTTTCTGGTATAAATGTTCCCTTTAAATTCGGAGCGGGGGATGTAAAGAGTAGTTCTGATCAGGGTGATAAGCCACCTCTGTTATTGCTTGTAAACACGAGGCTCACTTAAGAAATACTTCGTGCAAACAAAGAGCCACGACTTCGGGTAACCAACAAGCTCTGGGTTACAGTGGGCACTGGCCTGGGGCCGGGGCCGGGATGCCTACGTCACCTATGACATAGGGATCTGCCACCGCTGGAGCTCACGGGGACCAGACTGAGGGACGGAGTGCACAGGGAAGCTCTTCAGCGGTCTCCTGGGCTCCACGTCCCCACAGAGCAGGGGCTCTGGGTCCCCGGATGAAGCCGATCTCTGTGTCACGGCTCCCACGGCCTCTCTGTCTTAGGTAATGGTCCAGTAGGCAGAAAATCGGAAGCCGTGAGGCATCTTTTGTTGTTGGGCTGACTTCTCTTTCCTGAGACAAAGAACGGAGACTGCAGCCCCTTCTAGAAAATGCGTTTGTGGTTTCTTAACACAATAAAGAGGATTTAAAAGCATGGCAATGTCCACCAGTGGCCCAAGGTGAAATATAAGAGGTGTTCTCGTGCCTCGTTACTAGGAGTGTGATTCAGTACTGCTCTTGTTTAGAAAGCAATTTGTTGGTGTGTGTCAAGAGCCTTAAAAACGCGCCTCCCTCTTAACTCAGTGATTCCGCTGCTGGGAAGTTAGCGAAAGAAAATAATCACGCATGTAGAGAAAAGGACTTACAAAGATGCACATTACAGCATTATGTGTACATTTCTTTTAAATATTAGAAACCGTCTTAATATTTAAATATGGGGGACTACTTAATTACACCGTGGACCATGTGCTTGGTAGGATAAAATGTGGCCGTGAAATTCGATTTCTTAAGAATATCTAATAGAAGAGATGATTTATGATAGAGTATGAAGTGGAAAAAACCAGAACAATATGAAACTGTTGTCGACCACAAATGTAGGACTTTAAAATACCCCATATAAAGGAGAACAGAATAGAATTAAGCAAGACATAATTTTACCGGTGAGAGTATGAAAGGTGGTTTCATAAACTCTACTTTTTTATGTGTTCCAAACTTCTTCTGATATATATGCCATACATTTTCAGTGGAAAAAAGTAGAAGCAGCTTCTCTCTTGGGCCCTTGCGCGGGGCAGGGCTGACGCTCACCTGAAGAGAGCCTTGAGGTTCTCCGGAAGTTCTGTGCGGCCAGCGTAGCCCGGGTTCATGGTGATGAAGATTCCCACAGAAGGATCCAGGCTAATCTCCTCCCCAAGGAAGTTGAACCGCTGCTTCCTGTCTCGGATTGCATCTTGAATGCTTTTGACCTGATGAACAAGTAAGGAAAAGGTCTGCACCGTGTTCCGGGGGTGGAGTGGTAGCTAAGGCTGGGAAGCGTGGTTACGCCCAGTGCGGACACCTGCTCTGTGGCCCCTTTCGTTGAAGGACAGGTGCCGTGACTGCACCCTGGACCCTCTACTGACGGTGCCTGTCCAAAAGAAATCTGGTCGCCCACATCCGTATTGACGGCACAGCAGCTAAGGGGTTGGGAGTGAACAGCGAACAGGTGTCTAGCCCCACGGGCCACTCACCGGGCACTGTTCCGAGGGCTTCTTACGTATTAATGCATTTTCTCTCCACCAAGATCCTTCGAACCCCTTTCTCTATAATGAACCAGAAGCACTAGGCAGTGGGGTAGTTTGCCTGACTTTGCACAGCTAGTAAGTGGTCGTGTTCTGGACTTGAATCCGGGCAAGTGGATTCTGGAGCCTGGGCTCTTGGCCCCTGCATGATGGAGGGAACACCAGGACCCACCCCCCTGGGGTTGTTCCGAGGATTAAATGAAATCAAGCCTGTAAAGAGCTTAGCATACAGAAAATGCTTAAGAACAGCAGCTGACATGGAAATTGTTAAAGTGATCCTCAGCCTGGCTCCTCAGGTTACGTCTCTAGAACAGACAGCGTGAACACAGCTTACCTCTTTAGGGATCGAGTGCCCTGCAGATGGCAAAGCAAGGCTGGAACCCCATCCCTGAGGGCTAGGAGTGCCTTTCTAAAGAGATCAGCCTTTTTCTTAAATGTTGGGACTGAAGCTGAATCTTGACCTGGTCATTCTAGATCACCCCTACAGCAGCGGGCGGAGAGTCAGAAACGAAATCACCATTTTCACATGCGGCGCTTTGGAAAAGCGTGTGCAAAAATGATCAGCGACAGAAGGAGGGCAGACAAGAGGGGCACACTTGTTCGGCCAGGCCCCAGAATATCTCCGAGTTATCTCCAGCTTCTTGGGGTTCCTGAAAGCAAAGCCTGAAAGCAGTGGGGGCCAGTGCGAGGTTTTGAATGAGCTCCAGTCACATTGGCCATGGTCAGGGTGTTTAGAATAGCCAAGGGTTCTGGGGAGATTGAGCTGCAAGTGCATGTGTAGGTCTGGGAGAGAGAGGACAGACACAAAGAGAGAAGGACACGGCCAGAGCTGGAGCATTTATGAAAGAGAAAGAGACAGACAGATGAACAGACCGACAGCAGGAAGTGAAAGAGAAAGACACGAAGCAGCTAGACCACCTACCACGGAGCAAGGCTCTCTCCAGTGCCAGGCTGGGCAGAATTCACTGGAACGTGGGACAGGTCTACAATTAGGATTCCGCTCCTTTCCCCAAGTGAAGCTCTCAAGACCAAAGCATTTGAGCTCATGGCAATCAGTTTGAGACTGAGACTTCTCTTCTGTGTATAGATTGGCAATACCCTTGTGGGACAGGTGGTCTTCAGCGCCCCGCACATGTGGGGCTCACGGCACAGTCCTGCACAGCCTCCTGCCTCCCCATCACCCCGCTGCTTATGTGGGTGGTAAAGAATGGGCTCTCTCCGATGGCCCCAGTCCTCCCATCTATCAAATACGCTGAACACTCACCATCGTGTGGGGTGGGGAAGTGAGTTTAATTGCCATTTACCGATTGCCCTGATAGCCTTGGGCGAAGGCTGGAGCCCAGGACCCTTTCGGCTGCCCTCTGTGACTCCGCCTTCCGTCCTGCAACACTGAGGCCCAGGAACCTCACGCTCGTTCAGTGAGAGTTCATGACGCACTGTAGGATTAGTAACATCTGTCCTTTCATGTAAAATTCTGCAGGGTGGGGGGGGCTCTTGAGGGAGAGCATGGAGTAGACTCAAAGCTGGAGCATCAGTTCTAGTAGCAGGCTCTGTTAGCAGGGCTCACGCAGGACAGGATGGGAGACCGTCTGCTGGGCACCTCATTCCCTTAGCAGCAACCAAGGTCCACGGGTCGAGCCCCTGCAATTCAGTGGACGGGGTCCAGGAGGCCCCGATAAAGTCCAGAGGTCCTTCGGGATGTCGGGGAGGAGTGAGCGAGAAGCAGGTGGGCTGGGATCATATGGGTTACACCGCAAGCCCAGGCAGATGGAGTCTCAAACACAGGTAGGCGTAAACTGATACCAAAAGGGCCAGGGACACTCCTCACTCACGGGGATCTATTTCTCTGCTAAAAACTCATCGCTTTGAAAGATTTTAAAGCCATGGGGCATAACAACAAAAGAAGAACTGACATTTACCGAGCACTTGGTATGTACCAGGCGCTTCTCTTGAGTATTTCGTGTGAGTTATCCCGTTAAGTCCCTTCAGTAGCTGGACGAGATGGGCAGATCCTTATTTTAAAGATAGGGAAGCTGAGCCAAAGGCAGTGAAAAAGCTGTGCCACAGTTATGTGAGATGCTGAGTTTAGGGAGGCAAGGCGAGGGGTATGCGGGGACCTGACGCTATTTCTGTAACTCTTCTATAAGTCTAAAATCAGTTAAAAATAAAAAGTTACAAGAAAAAAAAGAAACTTGCCAGCTCTCTAACAGTTGGTACGCGGGCAACCCGAGTTACCAACCAGGCAATCTGGTCCCAGAGCACATGCTCTTATTAGCCGCTTCCCCAAACCGCCTTTTACCAGAAGGACACCATGCCAGCCATGGACGCTGCTTCATCAAACATGCACCTTTCAGGGGAATTTTGTTTTGCTCTGAAAATAATCATAACTTAGAGACATGTGTTTCCACGAGGTAAGAAAAGGCTCATTTGCCACTCATTACACACGCACACACACACACACACACACACACACACAGCTACGTAGAAACCAGTGTTCTCGACCGGGGGTGATTTTGCACCTGCCCTCCCCAGGGGACATCTCCAGCCATGGCTGAAGACATTTTTGTTGTCCCAAGTAGGGGGGGAAATTTCTGGAATTATCAGACTCAAGACATCGAAAATGCCAAAAGTTGGGAAAACCATGATCCTCAAAATTGAATATTTTACCAATAAAGAAATTGAAGGCAAGAAGATATAAGTTAATTCTGGTATTTCTGCTCATCCCCATTGCTGCGCAGTGACCCCATCAGAGCTGCAGACTGGTCCCTCCCCCTCGGCGCACCTGCGTCCTCCACTCCTTCTGCCCCGCCTGCCGTGGGGAGGACGTGTCTCTGCAGCCAGGGGCGAGGAGACTGAGGAGAAGCAGCAGGTCTCTAAATTTAGTGTACGAATCCCTCGGGATCGTTTGGAAATGTGGACTGTGTCACAGCCGGGCTGTGGTGGGTCTGGGTCTGCATTTCTAATAAGCTCCCAGGGGAAGCCAATGCTGCTGGCCAGTGAAGTGTCCTTGCCATTGGACCCAGCTGCCCCCTACCAATTACAGGACCCTCCACTGGCCCTCAACCAGATGGGCTCACTTGCTCTTCTGGCCTCCACAGCCTTTCATCATCCCTCTCCCGTGGAGCTTGCTTTCTGCCTTCTGCTTTAGATGCATGCGTAGGTCTGACCTCTATTGCGGGCTGGTCCTGATTGCAGGTGATCGGTCCTGGATCCTGGACAAGCCTTGTGTGCATGTCCGACCATGGGAGGGGGTCTGATGGGATCTCTTAAGAACTAAGTCTTTCCAGATGAATGGATAAAGAAGATGTGGTATACATATACAATGGAATATTATGCAGCCATCAAAAGGAATGAGATCTTGCCATTTGCAACGACGTGGATGGAACTGGAGGGTGTTATGTTGAGTGAAATAAGTCAATCAGAGAAAGACATGTATCATATGATCTCCCTGATATGAGGAATTCTTAATCTGAGGAAACAAACTGAGGCTTCCTGGAGTGGTGGGGGTGGGAGGGATGGGGGGCTGGGTGATAGACATTGGGGACGGTATGTGTTATGGTGAGCACTGTGAATTGTGTAAGACTGATGAATCACAGACCTGTACCTCTGAAACCAATAATACATTATATGTTTAAAAAAAAAAAAAAAAAGAAGAAGAAGATAGCAGGAGGGGAAGAATGAAGGGGGGAAATTGGAGTGGGAGACGAACCATGAGAGACTATGGACTCTGAAAAACAAACAGGGTTCTAGAGGGGAAGGGGGGTGGGGGGATGGGTTAGCCTGGTGATGGGTATTAAAGAGGGCACGTTCTGCATGGAGCACTGGGTGTTACACACAAACAATGAATCATGGAACACTACATCAAAAACTAATGACGTAATGTATGGTGATTAACATAACAATAATAAAAAATGAATTAAAAAAAAAAAAAACCAAGAATGAGGTCTTTCCCTTCCAAGACTGGAAGCTGGTGGGGATCATGGAGGGTTCTGCCCCTGCATCCTCCCACCCAGGCTGGAGCCTTGTATCAGACACACTCATGAAGGCTAACGGTCATACCATCTTTCCTGCAGGTGACAGGGGTTAAGGAGGTCACCTGCTAGCTCAGAGCTGCCTGAATCCTCTCAGCTTTTTCCTCCGAGCCCCTCTACCTTGCCCCTTCCATTCTAGGGAAGTGGCCCACTCTGGGGTCCAGACCTTGCCCCCAAATGCCATGTGTTACTAAAATCCTGCCTGGCTCACTTCATGCTTCTCTCTTGCAAAAGCAGATTGGAGTTTGCAGGAAGTGCAACCCACTCACCACTTTGTACATTAAAAAAAAATTTCCATGTTTTCACCTTATACCTTAAGCTCCTCTATAAAGGGTGTTACGTGGGAAGCTCCCTTGTTTCTGAGACTCTAGCATGTTTTCGTCACCCTGAGTCCTTGGAACACTGCTGTGGTGGCCTCTCAAGACCTTGCTAGTTGATCTGCTGCTTCTCGCTGCTTCCTGCCTTGGCCCCAGCACACTTGTGCCATGGGGAAGGAAGGGACATGGCAGAAATGCCTGGCCAGGGAGCATGGAGGGAGACAGGGGGCTGGAGGGAGAGGGGGCTGGACTGTGTCCTGTTGACATGTATTTCTGGACCCAAGGCCTAGCAAGCTGATTGCAATGGTATTGGCAAAATTCTGGGGGAAGAAAAGAG